GAAAAAAAAGTGGCTTTATAGACTTTCTCCCACCTCAGCTGCCAAAGCAAGGGTTCCAGAGAGAAATCTGGCCCCTCCTAAAGCCAGTGGCTCAGCTCCCACTGAGGTCAGAGGAGGCAGGGTTTCACCTCGGTAAATAAGGGTGGCTGGGTCACTACTAAATCTAGCATCATAAGAAGTTTTAGCTCAAAAGAAAAGCTAATGAAAATGCACAGCGATATGTGAATGGCAAAGTACCCCTGAAAGAAATGCTTTCTGAGACCTGTTTTTTTGGAGGTACCCAGCAGCCCTGACTCAACAAGTTGAAGGGACTGATGTGTGTGTGTGTGTGTATATATCTATATGATGTATATATCCTGTGTATATATAGCTCGTCCAAGGGACCGATGCCGAAAGGCGAGTAACAGCAGAGAGTTTCCCAGCACAGAGGTTTCCTATTCAAAAGCAACGGAGAGTGGCCCCGCTTTGCTCCCTCAGCTAGTGCGAGAGGGCTCCCGCCGCTTTCCGAAATCCACCCGCCTCAAGCTGTGTGACCCAAAAAGGAGGTAGTAAAAATGATAAGGCAATTCTAGCGGGTGGGCCTAAAACTTCCATTTTGCTCAGCTGAGCTGGCCGCCGGGCTCCCTGCCCTCCCACCGGCTTTGGCTGCACCGTGCCCAGTCCGCACCAGCCGCCGCCGGCCAGCTCTGCTTTCTCCATTGGCGCTACCGAGGAAGGAGAACAAGGAGGGCAAAGGCTGATGACATTCAGCACTTTCTGTTGGCACATGGGAACTTCTCTCGGTAAGGCAGAAGTGAAGTCGCTGCTGTCGGCCGCTCGTCACGCGCACAAGCAGCTCATCCACCACGCAGGGCTGAGAAGAAGCTGGTGCCGGGAAGGAAGGACGTTGCCTTGCAGCCCGTGCTATAATGCTAAATAACATAGCTGAATAGGAGTCACTATTCAGTTCTCAGCTGAGGTATATCGGCACAATAAAACAAAAGAGCTTCTCAGACTACTCCCCCCACCTCTGAAACTGCAGCATATTCTTCCCCCCAGCAAAGCTGCTGTGTTCGTACGACGATACCTGGATTTGCTTCGGTTTTGCACAGCAATCAGCCTACATCGCTCTCACTCAGCCTCACGGTTGCTATCAGCTACTCCCCTGCAGCCTGTCAGGGCTGGGGGAGCAGGAGGGGCCCCCAGTGCACACCCCACCGCCAAAGCAAGCCACACGCTGCCGGCCGCCCCATCCCCTTAGCCGCACAGCGAGCGAAGACGGAGCGCGGGGACAAAGCCATCTCTCTTGCCCTTCCCTCCCCCTCTTCCCGGGCAGAGGAGAGAAGCAAAAAGCATATCCTATTTCATTGCCTCTGGCATGTGGAAGTAAGGACGTTATTTTATAATAAACTTATTATTAAAGATCAGATGATGACGGCTGATGATGAGGTGCCGTCCGGAGGAGCCCCGTCAGCAGGTTCACTGTCGGCGCCAGCACCTCTGCCTGGGCCAGCTGAAGGCAGCCCTTCTCAGGCAGCTCCGTGCCGGCCGGCCGGCCGGTCTCAGGCTCCCTCGCCTGAGGGTCTCCAGAGGGACAGCATGGGGTCACAGCAGGGCCACAGGCTCAACATTTGCCGAAGAGCAAACCCAGCCTGGACTGGGAAACACAAAGGACACCGTTGTGGAGTTTTTTGAAATGTTAGAGCTGCTTTCCCCCATCCGACAGAAAGCAGATCCCCTCTCCTCTTCTTTCATTTAAATAATAAAACCTTTGTGGTGTTGATTTTTTTCCTCCGTTTGCTCCATGTTAGAAATCAAATCCCCTGTTCACAGGTAGCTTTGTCTTAGGTGGCTATTTTTCACACCAGTGAAGATGCCAAACAAAACAAACCCCTCCTTGATGGACACATTGGCACCAGGTTCACCTGCTTACGGTTTTGAGCTTTTTAAAGCCATTTTTGAGGTCCCTTAAGCTTTTTTAAGCTTTATAAAGGCCCTGTGGGAAGGAGCTTACACTGCTGTACAAAGACAGCCGGTCGCTAATAGATAGACCTGCCCTCCCAACAGACCTTTTTAGAGCTGCACTTGGAGGTTTTGCTACCTACGAAGCAAGCGTAGGAGATAGATCCACTCCTGTGGTCTCACCAATAGCACAGGCCACCTTAGCACCCTCCTTGGAGTTTAGCACCATGACCTCAAAGGCTGGACAGAACCCTTGTGAGTGACAACTGGGAATTGTCAACTAATCATCAACTTCAGTGTGCCAACACACAGAGCTCAGGCGGATCCCAAACACGCAACCCCTCCAGCCGGGCTGTCATCGCTTCCAGCAGCATGGGGAAGTTTCATGCAGCTGTAGGTGGCTCTGGGATCAATACCTCAGCTATAGTCACTCCACGCATAGCTCCACCACGCAGAAGGTTTTGCGTGGCTATGCAAGGTGTTGATTTTGAGCTCTCTTTCACCAAAGCTCCCTCCTATTGCAAAGTAGCACCCCAGGTACACTGAAAGGAGAGTAGGGGAGTAGTTAACCCAATCTCAAGTGTCATATGGAAAAAAGGGATTTGTCCTCTTATCACTGATATGCCCAGAGGCGGTGTACCTGCTCTCCTGTGCTCTCACGGGTTGGTGTGTTTTGCCCTGAGTTGAATACCATGCCACGGCTCAGTTACCATCATGCTGGTCACTGCTGGGATGGAACAGGATTGCAGTAGCAATCAGCTTTCATCTGGAATCAAAAATATAAACATGTTGCCTATATAAACAGAAAATATATATAGACAGAGTGAGTATGTACACGTGTGATAAAGGTAATAACTTTCTGAGAGGCACCCCCGATGGTAACGTGTCAAGGGTAATACCTTGGTCATCAGAGAACTTCAACTTCAACTGTGAAGCTCTCTCTGTGGCACAAAATATACCAAACGGTAGGTATTGCCTCCTTCAGAGTCATCAGAAAAAGCTGACCAGACACCGTGGAAGACTCTCCAAGGGGATGGGTGGGGAAGTACCTAATTTTAGCGTAAATGGAGTCTTGCCTTGAGAACTGGGAGCCGGAGGAAAGGAAGCCCCCGCCTCTGCCGGTGCTGCAGTCGTGCCTCGCCTGCCAGGGCAGCCCGTGGACACAGGGGTTTCTGCGACGCGTCGGAGCCAAGCCGGGGGAAGGCTTTGCAGAGTTTTATCGCTCTTCGGACACTCACAGCACTGAAATACGAATGTGTTACACAGAATAAATGAAACAAATCCAAATGTGTGTCAGGAGATGATTTTATAGGGCTCCCATTGTGTCCGAACTTATCAAGCAAAGCCTTAATTTCCAATCTGATCCAAAAATCACTGAAGCCAAGCGCAGCCTGTTCCCTGCTTCAGGAGACTTCGGAGTAGGCCCTTTCTAAACCATGGAGGAAACACGTTTTGGAAAGGAAAAGAAATATATTACGCTAATTGTGCAAAATATTTTCATCATCCCTTAGAAATGGGCACATTTACCTGCAAGCTGACAAAGAGCATTTAGGTAATAGTTAAATTCAAAAGACATTTCATTACAAATTGAATCATTCATGCACGAGCAGAGCAGTTTTGTCATTTCATTTCCCCTCAAACATTTTATGCTGCACAGAACTCTTTTGTACTCATTATTTTTGCAAAATTAACTGCCAGGTCAACTTT